AGTGCCACGATTACCGCTCATCGGTTCAAGCTCGCGTCATGCTGGGTCATTCAGAAAGAATAGTCCGCACAAAATGTTCGTGACCACATGTGACCACTGTTGTGCCCCTTTGGTGGCTTAGCGACGTAATCGCCGGATGCAAAACACGAGAGCGATACGAGGTCCCCGGACAGGCGTCTTGTTCTTGTTTACGCCTATGGTGGTGAGAAATGGCCGTTCGCATGGTGTCAAATGTGCAAGCCTTAGATTCTGAACGGAGTGAACCCGAGGGATGTTGCGAAAATTCAGGTGCAGATGTCTTCAATGCCGTCGATACAAGGCTGGCCGGGTGTTGCAGGACCAACGGACACCCATAGGTTAGCCAGTCTAGTTCATTTTGTCGAGTAGAGTGAACGAGCGCCAACCACAGGGTCATCAGATACTGGGCTCAAGTTTGACAAAACAGCTTTTAGTTTCGCTCAGTGGTGGCCGTGCTCTTAAAAAAAGCTGGGAATAGAGCTTGGAAGGGATAGTTTAGGACAACGGGTGGTAGTGGTGGGTGTCACAGTTTCAGCTGCGAAAGCCATGCCGCCCAAAGATGCCAAGAACAAGAAGAAGAAGACGCCATCGTCGCCCAAGTTATCGGCCAAGACTTCGCCGACCCTGAAGCCCAAAGCATCTCCGAAGATCGGGCCCAAATCTCACCCGATGAAGAGGAAACAAGACGACGACATCCATGGGGAAGATCCGAAACCTGCCGCGAAAAAGAAGAAGGCACCAGGAGACAGCCAGGACTCGCCATCATCCCTTGCTGTCTGTCAAGTTTCTGATATCAAAGATATATCAGAAGCAAGTCGCGCGGCACTGCTCACAAAGAGCATCACGATGTTGTTCGAGATTCAGCAGAAGGCTTTCAGCCCATGCTTCAAAGGTCTAGATGTGGTTGGCCGTGCCAAAACCGGATGTGGCAAGACTTTGGCATTCGTGTTGCCGGTGGTGGAACGGCTTCGTGACTTTTCCAAGTCAACTTGCAAGAAGGCGCCTTTGTGCACAACTATCGCGCCAACCCGTGAGCTTGCTAGACAGATCTTTAATGACTTTGAGCTTTTGGGCAAAGCATCCGGCCTCGTCGTGAAATGCTTCTACGGCGGATGCTTGCCAGTCCTGTGACAATCCTAAGCTCCTAAAAGGCTTTCGTAGCGCTTCGGGGGCTCACTAGGTAGAGTTCAGACTCAGGTAGCTCTGAGAAGTGTCAGCTTGCACCAAGGAACCCCTTTCGGGCCACAGTGCGAGGATCTCCGCAACGGCGTCCATGTGCTTGTTTGCACACCGGGGCGGCTGCTCGACCATGTTCGCCGCAGCAGCGTCAGCTTGTCAAATTGCAAGACGTTGATACTGGATGAAGCAGACGAAATGTTGTCGATGGGCTTTCAGGAAGACATAGACGCCATTTTGGATGCATTGCCCAAGACAGGCTGTCAGAAGCTGCTCTTTTCGGCGACACTGCCAACATGGGTGAATGCAATCGTTGAGAAGCATTTGACCACCCCCACATGGATTGATGTAGCAAACGACCCACAGGGCAACAAGACCAACAGCTTGATCAAGCATCAGTGCGTGCAGTGTGCGCCTGCTCTGAAGGGTGACTGCATCGGTGACCTTTGCAAGATCCATGCCGGAGCATTCGGGAAGACGATTGTCTTCGTGAACACCAAGAAGGAGTGCGACGAGCTTGCGGGAAATGACAAGCTGCAGGCCATTGGTGCCGGTGTTTTACATGGTGATATCCCTCAACATGCCCGTGAAAAGACGATGGACGGATTTCGCTCGGGCAAAATCCGGTGTCTAGTAGCTACGGATGTGGCTGCGAGAGGCATAGATGTCCCTGCTGTGGATCTGGTTGTTCAGACGCGGCCTCCTCAAGACTTCGAGGCTTACGTGCACCGCTCCGGCCGTACTGGCCGAGCAGGCAGGAAAGGTACCTCTGTGACTTTCTATTCAAGGAATGAGGAGTATCTAATCAAGCTCATTGAACACAAGAAGGGGATCAAGATGCAACGGGTGGGGCCACCCCAAGCCAGAGATGTCGTGGCCGCCGCTGCGGAGGATGCCGTGCGTCAACTCGACACTGTCCATCAGGCCAGTGTGGAGGCATTTACAGATAAGGCCCGGGAGTTGATAGAAGAACGTGGCGCCGAAGTTGTGTTGGCCGCGTCGATGGCAGCACTCACTGGCCATTTCCGCGAACTCAAGGGCCGCTCGCTTCTTTCGTCGTATGAGGGTCAGACGGCCCTTCTCTTGCAGTCCGAGCGAATCATCGAGACTGATTCCAAGGGATGGTATCTCCTCCGGCAGATGCTACCTCGAGAGGTGGCAGAAGCTTGCCGCGGATGCAAGCGATGCAAGGACGAGAAGATGTGCATCTTCGACGCTCCGGATAACATCGTGCCCATGATTCTGGAGGCTACTCTCTGGAAGGGCAACACTATCACAGTGGCCCGGGAACTGCCGGAGCTTCTTGAGGCAGAAACGGATATCTACGAGGCGAACCAGAGGCTCAAGGAGTCAAAGCAACGCTTTTGGGAGCGAAGGAAGGGCGGTGGTAAGGATGGACGCGGTGGCGGAGGCGGAGGCCGTGGGCGAGGAGACGGCGGTGGCAAGGGTGGCAGAGGCAAAGGTGGCCAAAGTCACGGAGCCGGACGTGGCAAGGGGCAGACTGGACGGGGAGGACGTGGAAGAGGGACCTCCTAGTGGTACACCTTAATGACTTAATGTCGTGCGCTTGTGTTCATTCAGTTCACTATATCTGCACAATCCATGCGTGCCGTCTTCCCCGTGTTTTCTTGTCCGCAAATCGTTTTCTACATCAAAGTGCTTGCAATAAGCCGCATGGCCTGAGACTGTTATACAGCCTTCAGCCTTGTGCATTCTGCCAGATGTACATTGCTGCACGCGCATGCCCGGTGCCGCCAAACAAGTGTAACCCGACCATTTCTATGGGGTCTTGCCCAAATGGGTCCAGATATGTCTCGGAAGCGCCGGTGCCTGGAAGGTGCGTCAAGCCCGCTGAGAACGCCAGATGCAATACAGCAGAACTCGAGATCTTCGCTGCTCATCCAGGCCAGTCATGAGAAGCTCAGCGTCAGTTCCAGAGGCTATCTAAACCTGAAGCCCTTTGCATCCTGAAGCGCCGCTTGGATCTCAGTGGCCAGCTTAATTCGAATAGTTGCTTTTAGGGGAGTTGTCAAAATGATTGGTTTCGGTGGAAGTTAGTATTACTGATAGGCTTTATTTGTTGTGGTTTGGGGTCCGCACTCAGTTCTCGGTTGTGTGACCGTCGTACCAAGCCTCGCCCGGACGGTCCGAGTGTGAGTCTCAAGCCCGTAGACCCGTATAAGCATTCCATAAACCCTACAAGCCGCACTCACACTAAACCCCCCAAAACCCTCCGAAGCCCTAAACCCTGAAAGCACCAAGCCCTGCTTGAAAAGGAGATGCAGAACGAGGAGGGAGACCTCCAGCAGCAGATTCTGGCCCAAGGCTGCCGATCGAACGACCCCGAGGCCCGAAAAGCCATGTGAGGTTTTATAAAGGTGCAAGAAGAGGGGTTACTATTAAGGGGTGCCGCAGGGGGGGACTTTGGGTTCCGGGGTTTAGGGTTTTTGCCTTTTCTTCTATTTTTTTGTATGCTCAGATGCATGTGTGTGACTTTCAGGTTGCATGTGGAGCTCAGGCCTAGAACTCGAGTCCATTGGCATGAACACCAAAAAAAGTTGAGGGCAGTGCCCATTCACAGTCATAAGTGAGTCATAAGGTGCACAAATTTGCCACAAGAGGTAAGCCAAGTTCAGATCGCCGCATGGAGCCAGCAGCGGGAGCGCCTTTCATAGAAAGCATGAGTTGCACCGCTCGACCAACGGGTATAAACACCTGCATGCACATACATAATGACTGACATCGTGTAGGCTCATAGGAATGGATACATGAGAGTATGAAATACTGCATGCTTGCAGACATAGATGATGTCCACAAGTGAGAGCGAATTCATCGTGCGTCATCGCTTGAACAGTGGCACCTTCAAATGAACGTGTCACGTCGTGGAACTCACAAACTGACCCATTGCCTGCTGCCAGCCAGTCTTCATGCAAGCCCGAGTTGTTCCGGGACGAGCCAAAGTCGCCAAAGTACTTGGATCAGCTGGATGCCATCCCAGCCACCCAGCCAGCGATGCGAACTCCTAGTTTTTTCGGTCCTCGACCCGAACGAAATCGACGATCTGACCAATTCAGAAGTGCTTGACTCCTGCATTCCAGCCGTGCGTCCAGTGGAAGTTGGATGGGCCGCCGACAGCTCGAACGAGCTGGCAGGCAAAGTTGAAAGCTGGATTGCTCCCGTGACCATCTGCGAATCCTGAAACCGTGTCGAAGTATTGCGCCAGGAGTACCTCAGACGCTGTAGACTTGATACGCGTGGCCCGCAATCCTCAGTATCAGATTCCGGAGTCGCAGAACCAATTTCAATGCCTGACAATTGGCATCCAAGCGATTTGTGCGTGCGAACCCAACCACCAGAGCAGTTTCTGAGATAGATAGATAGATAGATAGATAGACAAGCTTACGAGATCCGACTTGCCACCGATTTCATTCTGCCAGCAAAGCCTTGGCAACCTTGTCTTGACCTGGCAGGATCGAGGGTACGAACCGTCGACCGTCCCGCGAGGGTGGGCTGGCATTCGTTGTTGGTAGCGATGTTGCGAACACATTTAGGCATCCAGTGATCGATTCTGCTGCTTCATGGCCGGAACATGGTGCGAACGGTGTCATATCAGGTTCCGCAGCTGTTGGATCATGTTGAGAGCGGCCGCCAGCATTCAATCCAAGAGAGGCCATTGACCCTCCAGTCGCTCACAAGCCCAATCAACTGTTGAACCCGGGGGAAGGCATTGCCAGCCTGATGGATTCAGCGCTCTTGCAGTTCTTGTTCCGTAGCTGTCATGCCATGGTAGACACCGGCGACTAGCCATGGCTGTGTCCTTGTCCGTGGAAACGCTAAACTGGCATTGCCCACCATGGGGTGGGTTGGTCCATGGTCCATCATATGACCGGCAGGCCAAGAGCCTTCGGCAGGGTCTTCAGGTAGTGAGGGAGCAGTGCAGTTGTGTGCCAGGCAGTCACGCCAGGGATTGTCCACATTGGCCTCACAGAGTTCCACCGCGCTCACCAAGCCCACTTCATTGATGAGTTTCTATCATCTGGACAGGCTCGTGTGCTGAGATACCGTTGCATGCGAGAACGAAGGGTTTAGATTCAGATGTCGTCAATCGGCAGGTGGACTGCCTTTCCTGGGGCATTTCAGGAGTCAGTTTCGCCGAGGATCAGCACCTCCATCATGCGTCTCTTGGCAGAAAACCTCGTTGCCAAGGCCCTTGCTGGAGTCTACTTCTCGTCTAAGCCAGGATGGAGGAACAAAGCGGCATGTATGTCCTGTGCACCCGAAATGCGCAGGAGCGCATGCGCAGCTCGAATGACTCTCTCTGAATGTGTGCCCTTGCATGCTACTGTTGCTTCGGCTGCTTTTCGGCGCAGGAGCCGATGGCACGCATCATCGGGGCTTACTGCGAACATCTGTCTGCACCGGGGCACCATGCTGCGATACTTGATCGGCATCTTGTCGGCAATTCCGTGCAGGCTTTTCCGCACCTCCCTTGCTGTGCGCCATTTGCGTGGAACGAAGGCTCCAAGCAGACAGCACCAAGATCATCAGCATATGCTTGAGAAAAAGCGATTCTCTGGATGATGCCGGAGCTTTGGATGGTTCGTCGGAAGATATTCAATCGGATCTGGGAGCCCTTAGGAGAACCTCGATGAACATGCGGTATGTTTCTTTCTACTAGTCAAATTAGGCTGGCTCTGACTGTGCCACTACGCTGAGACACTTGAGACCAAGTTGCCTGCGCGCTACAGGCATACTCGCCTGCACTGACGCGGAGTCGCTGTCATCGACTGTCCCGTTGAAGACGGCCGCTGCTTATCTGGTCGCAGCTGCAGCATTGCGCAAGAAGCGTGATGCTCCACCTGTGGCTGTGCACCTCGGACAGCCTGCACGTTTGGCGACTTGTGCGGAGATAGTCAGTAGTCATACTTGCGGCTGTGTGTGACCTAAGGCTCAGCTGTGATGCAGTGCCGCGGAATGGGGAGCGCTGCGCTTCTGCGGTAGCTTCACTGGCACAGCAGACCGGCGGTGATGAGCTCATGCAGTGACCTGCGTGAATATGAGTGAGGTTACTGAAGTGGTGCTCGGAATTTCAGTTCTTGCGTCATACTCCGTCATACCACGCTTGTCATGTGCTTTGTGTGCGAGGTATATCCAGGAAAAGTGGCGATTTCCCAGCTCGGTCTGTAGCCTTGCTGCATCATATAATTGGTATAGATCGTAGAGTGGTGCTTTGTCATGGCGAAGGGGCGGGTGCTTTTCTCGCATCTCTGCTAATGCTCGGTGGAGCCTGCGGCAACATCAAGTACAAGTGGTATCACGAGGTGATCGCATCGTGTACAGGTTGACACCCACGGTGCTGCAGGACCTTGCAGCTCTTGTTCCTATGTTCTTCCATGCCCTGAGTTGCGGACTTGCAGAGATGCGACAAGATCGACTGAACTTAGTTTTTTTTCGGGATGAACCGACCTTCCCACAGTGTGCAGTCCAGATGTCAGGACCTTCACCGAGCATCCGGGGTGGCCGACAAAGGGCCGGTTGCCTGCGAAGACTTCGTGCGATGGGTTGTGGAGGCAGTGCCCCCAAGCCCTAAACCCCCTAAGTTCTAAAGTCCTCAAGCTAAAGGGGTCTTGGAAGTGGGGGCCTGTGTGATGGTTTGGATGGGTTCTGGTGGCAGCGTTGGGCATCTGGGAATTGCGCGGTCGGTGTCAGACTTGTGTGGAGCCTGCCTGCCTTGTACGAGAGTGAGAGTCGAAGAAGGTCTTGAAAGTGGCTCAAGGCTTACAGTAGGGTATTGTTGACTTTAGGCCCAGAGGTTGGCCTGCTTGACAGCTCTTCGCAGCCATGATCATTGCAGATCTTGCCCATCTCGCATTGGGCACGCCGCTGACCAGGGCTCCGGCAAGCCACAGGATGGCATGTAGCCGGAGACAAGACAAGGGAATCCCAGGGACCGCCACGATGTTCCCGACACGAGCGCAGTCCCCAACGAGCCACGCCTCGACAAGGAGCTCTGCAATCCCTCGAGCTGGAACACCGCGTCCTTGGTTGCATTTGCGATGATGGACGCGGGCTGTTCAGGAATGCACCACGCACCTTGGCAGCACGGCTCGTGCTGCCATGGTGCGTGCTGCATTCCTGAACAGCCCTTCAGCTCCACAGGGCAGTCACCGCTTGCGATGGGCGGAGGGGATCGCAATCGGGCTTGTGCTTTTAGACAGAAAGAGCAAGAGCAAGCAAAAGCAATGGCAGGAGCAAGAGCAAGAGCACAACAGCAGGAGCAACAGCAAAGGCAAGAGCAGGCGCAAGAGACACAGCAGAAGTTGGAGCAAAAGCCAGTTCGGGAGCAAGATCCAGACAGGAGCAGGAGCCCGACCCCTCAAAAGTGTCAGTGGACATAAAAAATACACCCTAATACTGAACATACTTTCCGAGTTTCTATTGAAGGGGGCCCCCGGTTTAATATTCGGCAGAAGAAATTACCTCATTCAGACAGCACCTTGCTTCGCACCCACCACAGCTGCACAACTGCGACGTTAGCATGTGATCGTCTTCTGTGGTGGCCAGACGTACCAACAAAGACAACCTTTGAAGCCAAACCCGGAAGGGAACTGCTGTCACCACGCTCTCCTTCAAAAGCAGGACCACGAGGGTCTACCTACGATGCACCTTGCGAAAAGGGCGCCCGTCAGCGAACGAGAAAGGTTGCAGTCTTTACGACGGGTGATGGCCGAGCGAGTGGTGGGACTGGTCGGTCTGCTCAGCATCCTGCGATGGAGGGACCAAGCGCCTTGCAACACTGAGTCCTGCGATGCGGCATGCTTGGATGGTTCCGCAACCCGTGGCGCGGCTTGCAAGTCCAGACGCCGAGACGATCGCGGGAAGCCAGCAGTTGGGCTTCGTGAGGAGCAGACGGCGTGTACTGACATGCCCGAACACAACATCGCACAAGACTGCAAGATAGGTCAATGGAGTCATTGGCCACAGCGCAGCTGCAATTGCTTTGGCATTCGAGAGCGGGGCCGCGTGATGGAGCTTTTTGCCGCGTGATCGCCTCGTGTCCTGGCCTTGGAACCCTCAACAGACGGCGGCAAGACGTAATATCCTAGGAGCCATGGGGCAAGTGCTCAGCAAGTTGTGGAGTTGGACAGACAGAGCGTTCTCCTGTGACAGACCATGTTGGCATCAGCGAGCGGAGGAACGCCGGTCAGTGGCGAGCTGACAGACATGGAGCGGTGTGGTGAGGAACTTTGTCCAAAATCCGGCAGCTACGATTGCACCTCGGGGGGTCTGGAGTCGCTGGGGAAGTTGCTCCGAATGCCGTGGTTTGCGGGTGGTCAGAGGTTTCGATTTCGCAACATTGACCCAGCAGATGCCAAATCATTGCGGAAGGCCACGTGAGCCGAAGGACGCCAAAGAAGGCGGAGTATGTGATGGTCATAGCAAAGGCGAAATCCTGTGCAAACGCATGTCAGTCGGACTACCAGCATCAATCGGGCCGAGGGCTTGACCGGCTACTCTAGCGAGTTCCTCTTCATGGCATTCGGCTTGTGCGAGCTGCATCGTGTCATCAGCCAGCACAGCGAGGAACGGGATGTGACGGACCTATATACGCTTGAAACTACCAAACTTGAAATCCTGCGACCACAGGATTGCAAGTTTGGCGAGTGGTCTGCATGGGAAGTGCATCTTTCTTCGTGCTGCTCATCGTCTTGCAGGCGATGTGGTGGACTTGCCGCAGGGACGGCACGAGCAATCCAGCCACCGCTCTGTTGGTGTCCTCCCTCAACTGCCAGTTGCCTCAGCACTTCCGAAGATGCCATGACAATGTTTGATTTACATACTTGGACCTTCACCACAATTGTCAGCTCCGCGCTCGTGCGTCTGGCCAGCCATGCTGCGGGAAATGGAGACTGGCTTTGCATATTGCCTTTGGGCTTGTGGGCACCTGCAGTTGCTGTTCCTTTCAGACCAACCTGCCCCACAAGACCTTCGCAGATGCTGTCTGGCATCAGCACAGGCGGCCTTCCAGGTGGGCTTTTTCGGATGGATCGCCGCCGTCTGCTGTCTCCTTCGCGGCAACTTCCTGGACGATGTCCTTGACACGCTGTTCACCGGGCATCTACGACTTGCATGGACTTACTTGCATACTTGCCGCCATGCCTTGGACATCCAGGCCTCGAGCTGGAACGTGTCGAACCGCTTGCAGCCGGAGCGACAGTCAGAGTGTTCTCTGCGAGGGCCTGGGGATGCCAAGAAAAGAGCTTGGCGTCAATTATAGTGTGACGCAGCAGATGGAAGTACTTGTTCAGCAGGAAAAGGTCAAGCCATGATGTGCTTCTCACCGCTAAAAAGAGGGCTTGGTCCGAGATTAAAAGTGCCTTCGAGGACCAATTTCCGAGCGGTCGGCCTGCCTGGGAATCAGTGCTTGGAGACGCCTGCGTCTTCGTCGAAGATGCTCAGCCCTTTTCGGACTTGCACCTCAAGGTCTTCGAAGGCATCGGTGATTCAAGCCCTTCTGGTCATCAGGAGTAGACAAGGCATGCACTGCGCCCCAGTAGAGCGTCCTCCTCAGACCCGTCAGGCGCTCGGCAGCTCATCACCTACGCCGGGATCTTGTTGGGCTACCGGCGAATCAACGAGGCAATTGAGGAGCCGGTAATTGTCGAGTTCGTGAAGAGATACTGGGGAGCCACCGAGCCGGCAATGAAGTTAACATGGATAGGTTTCTGGTTTAGGGATTTTGGCATGTTTTAGCGGTCGTGTGCGATCATCTGCAAAGGTGGTTCTGGCGCATGCGGTGGCCCCCTCCGACCAAGCGGATGGGCAAGCCTACCAGGCGATTGTTTTGCTGGCGCCACACTGATGCAAGGGCATAGCCGTGGCATCCGGATGCAGCAAGTCGTATGCAAGTCAAGTGCAGTGTTTGGACTTCAGGTCGAGCTGCAAACTAGCCAGTGCCACCTGCCACTGGTACCGACATGTAACTGTACCGGGGATTTTTGCGTCTGCTGCTGCTGCCACTTGCGACGACGCCCCCCGCCAGCACCGCCACCACCACCGCCCGCCCGTCGCCGCCACCGCCGCCACCACCACCACCACCACCACGACCACCACCACCACAACACGAAGCAGTATGAACAGAGTATGGTATTGCTAGCGGAGGCCGGGCAGGGGAGGGGGAGTAGTACAATGGATCTTATCTAGCATCGTTTCGTTACGTTGTTCATCGCCGATCGGAAGACATGGTACGGGAGCTTCGCTCCCAGCTTCAGAACGGTTCTACTGGCAGGCTGAGATTTTTCAGCGACTCGCGCAGAGTGACGAAGAGCTGCTCACTCTTGCGGAGGAGGGATGCCAGAACATTTGCAGTTTCTGCAGCCGGGACTCACGAAGTGCATAGTCGCCTCGCCTTTTGAAGGTGTAGCTGCTTCTAGATTCTAGCCAGCAGAGCAGGAGTTCACTAAGGCATGAGCATTATTCCTGGCCTACCGCCGATGGACACGCCAACCATCAAGCCGATTGTTCAGCTTCTATGCCTCTGGGTGCGGTACATTATTTCTTCCGCCGACGAGGTGGAGAAGAGGCTTAGCTACAACGAGCAAGTGAGCAATCTCATCAGGAGCCATGACGTTGGAAGACCGAGGCCATATGTCCATGCCGCAGATGGAAGGCACTCGGGTGCGGATGTTTTCACTTGTGTTATCTTGTGCTTTGGGCTCTTCGAAGCGGCTTTAGCTAAGAGGCACGCAGACAATCGAGCGAAACGCAGGTAAGACTGTCACGTCGTTCTACACGTTGGAACTCTGCGGGACGTGACGTACTGCATCATAGTAGGATGTAGTGTGACGTGATGCGGGCATCCCTTGCCGCTTGGGTGCGGCTGCTCCAGGCTTGAAGTGCTGCATCCCCTGGCAGAGAGCTTGTGGCACAATGCTGTGAAATCCATCAAGGGCGAGAAGGGTGAGACGATCCGGAAGCTACTCGGAACCATTTGCTTGTTCCTTGTCGGAGATCACGGGCCATGTCTGACCAGGCCACCTCCCAGAGAAGAGACGAAAGCTTTCGTGACTGCAGCATTCCCTTCTGTGAACTTGGGCGCTACGGTGCTGGTGGAGGTGGACCGGTCGACCTTGTGGTGCCAGGGGTGCTATCGCACCTTTGACACATATGTCCGAAAGCGTCCTGACACGCTGCGGCTGTGAAGCACCCCTCGCTGCAGCTCCCTCTTTCTGCGGAGGTGATGGCAAGCCAGCTTATCGCGTGCAGGGCCAACGGTGCCACTCGGTCACAGGATGTCAGAAGTCCTTGCAAATCCAGAGACAGTGACTAAAAGTTGGTGGATCCTGGGGTTCCAGTGCAACATAGGCGAATTTCCAGAGCCCTTCTGTCCGGCCAGTGAAGAGAATTGAACGGATGAAGGGCGCGAAAGAGATCGCACACCAAGCAGGTTTTCTGGAATCCACTTTATTATTATTTCCATTATTATCATTTCTATTATTCGCATTATTATTGTTATTATTGTTATTGTTATTATTATTGTTGTTATTATTTGTTGTATTATTATTAATATTGCTACTAGTGCTATTATTATTACCATTATGATTGTTATGATACCCCTTTGCCTTTTGACCGCCAGTGCAGGATCCTGGCCCCCTTTTCAGCACGATGGGGTGGTTGGGCCTCCGAAGAGACCTCAGTGAAAGCTCCGGGGTGGATCCTTATTACATAAATAACAACAGTTATAATCACAATAGTCATAATAGTCATAATAGCAATAGTAATAGTAATACTAATGACGATAATTACAATAAGTACAATAATGACAATAATTACAATAATAAAAATGATAACAATAATAATGTTAATGATAATAACAATAAGGACTCTTGGTGGATCTGAAACAGAAGCCCTAGTTCTTGTTCCTCCAGCCTCTTCTATGCAGGACCCATTTTGAGTCTTTCTAAGCAAAGCACAGCGAAGCCCCATGGGCAGAATGTATGGGTTTTATCGGCAACTTGATGGTGCTCCACTTCTTCACTTGTAAGGGAGATCATTGCGGACTGGGAGATAAACAGGACGTACCTTGATCGAATCTGCTTCGTGAGGTGGCCAGCTTCTTGACGCCGTCTGGCAAGTAGGACTCAAGGAGTCCCACAAGTGCTTGGCCAATTAATGCGCTAGTGGTAATTACGAGTGGACGTGTGGACCGAAGCTCTGGCATAGGCTTGAATCAGCTGCTGCTGTCACCCAACACATGCACTAATGCTGTGTGGTTTGCTTGAGGCCTTGGTCTCGTTTCCTGTTTTTTCTGAGGGCTTCGGCCTCGTAGGATAATGACTCGCCCCGGAGGGGCTGGGAGGAAGTCCCGGGGCCCCTGGGGCCCCTGTGTCGGTGAGCTGCCAAGCAGCAGATCGGACGGATTTATGTGCAGCGGCCGAGTCCCAGATCTTAGGACTTCAGGCTGGGGCATCTGCGCGAAGGGCGTGAGGGCCTTGCAAAGCAGGCCAGCACGCAGCGTCGACGTCTCTCCTCATGGGGCAGAGACCTTCGAAGCAAGTTCTTGCAGAACAGCCACATGTACGTTTCGCCAGAAGCTTGATCCGGATAGCCCGGCGCGGCCAGAGAAGAGCCAGCTGAGGGCTTGAAGCAAGCCAGGTGTACAGATCCCCTGTGGATCCTACCTTTCCTGGTATGTGCCGCGGTGGCTGCCTATGCTGTTGGTTATGCCTGCCTCCCAGAGCAACAGCAGCAAGATGGTTCATACCTGCAGCCCCTTGGAAATACCTCTGCCCAGGCAGTCCAGAAGGGCAACCTTAACAACATTTTGCAGGGAGCTTTCTGTGGCTGGCAGGAGCATTCTGCAAGTACAAGGTTCTGAGGCACATGGTTCAGCATCAAGTTGTGGTGCTGTGCACGAGGTCGTTGCCTGATTTGCACGGCAACCTCTGCGGCAGCGGGTTAAATCGGGTGCGCCGCAATGTCTTTCAAGTGCCTGTGCAAACCTGCATGTATAGTATTCGCATGTTTCCGAAACAAGGAGTGGTGGATAGCCCGCACATGTCATGCAGGGCAAGCCATTCCTCTACTTTTGCATGCAGAAGGCAGCCACCTCTTTCCGCTCGGGATCTCTTGTGCTACGGTCTGTTCAGGGTTGATGCTAATTATTCCGCTTTTGCCGGACATGGATGAGCAGCTCGTTGCCTCCACCTAGTGGATTGAACAGCCGCCACACGCGGAGACTTTCTCTGTGTCATGCTCAGCTCCCCACGGCTCCTCGCAGGGGTTAGTGTCGGTACTGTCATCAAGCGCTGCACGAAGATGTTGAAGCTTCGGCCACGATCGTCGGTCGAGATTGATCTGTTGGATCGGAGGGTTTGGAGTTCAGAGTCGCCGAAGATGCCCGTCCAAAGGCTGGGACTGCACAACTGCTCTCTCCAGGACAGCCAGCACATCATGGAGGGCAATCAGAAGAGGCTTTACTCAGCACGGTGATAGCTCAAGCAGTCCTTGACGACGGGCCCGACGTTGGCACATGGTCTGCTGTGTGCCGCATAGCAGTCCTGCGAGAGACCAGCCTACAGCTGCATCAGCAGGCTGGACATGGCAAATCCCATTTGCGTTGGGCCTGGAGCCTAGCTGCCTAGCTTGGAGACAGGACGGTGGCCGTGTTTCCTCCACAGTTGCAAAGTTCGGGGGTTGGGGTTCGGGACAATGTTGAGGTAGCAGAAGCTGCAAGCTATGGGATCAAATTTGCGGTAGCATGTTACAGCAGCAGCAGCAACACCAGCAGCAGCAGCAGCCGCCGCAGCCGCAGCCGCAGCCACAGCGGCAGCCGCAGCACCAGCACCAGCACCAGCACCAGTACCACCACCACCAGTACCGCCGCCACCACCACCACCACTGCCACCACCACCACCGCCGCCGCCACCACCGCCGCCACCACCACCACCACCACCACCACCGCCGACTGCTACTGCTACGACTGTCACCATTGAATAATCATTTTTTGTCGTGAAATTATTTCCTCTAGACGCTAGAATGCAGAATATAGCCATGGCTACAAGCACTCTTCTTCACCGAAATGCTCACACGATGAAGTCGCATCGGCAAGACATTTGAGAGAACCACGAGCCTCGGAGGTTCGAATCTGGCGCTAGTTGCCACAGATGCAGGAACACCCGCATGAGACTGACCGTTTCTTTGTGAATGCTGCAGGCTATTGAAGCCATGTTATCATACATGGTGCATCCATACTTGGTTCAAGGAAGTCGTGGCTAGGTTTCACAGGGTTGATCAGCGGGCCGTAGCAGTAGTAGTAGTAGTCGTCGTCGTCGTGGTGGTGGTGGTGGTGGTGGTGATGATGATGGTTGTGGTGGTGGTGGTGGTGGTGGTGGTGGTGGTAGTAGTAGAAGTGGTAGCAGCAGCAGCAGCAGTGGTAGTAGCAGTGGTAGTAGTGGTGCTGCAACAGCAGCAGGATGGTAGTTGTACTTGTGGTGGTGGTAGTAGTAGTAGTAGTAGTAGTAGTAATAGTAGTTGTAGCAGTAGTCGTCGTCGTCATCGTCGTCGTAGTAGCAGTAGTAGTAGTAGTAGTAGTAGCAGCAGCAGCAGCAGCAGCAGCAGGAGGAAGTAGCAGCAGTAGAAGCAGCGGTGGTTGCAGTAGCTGCGGCAGCCCCGCCGCAGCAGCCAAGATGATTGCACCAAAACTAGGTTTTCAATTCCGCGTGGCTCGCCAAGGATTTGTCCGGGCACATACAACACAAGCAGCCGGTCCGAACCACAGTTCCACGGCCCCAGCACTTTGACAGGACAGAGGGCAGTGGTGTGAAAACAGTGACGCGTGGACTTGCTGAGGTGTTGGCTGCCAATTCACGAAAGCTATGCGTGGGCATGCCTGCCGGATTACCTGAAAAACTCCGAGTCTCCACCTTAGAGTCTTAGAGGGGATCTTCTGCTCTCCGAGAGTGCCAGGTGCAGGACTATCCAACCCAACCGTGTGGAACTGAGGTGATCTTGGGTGACATCTGTCCTTAGATAGTGTTGAAACTCATCTCTTTTTTTCCTGTGCTTCATGTTCAAGACGGAGTAAACGGAGTAGTGCTGAGGTTCATTGGCCTCGTGTGTAGGCCGTCAATGGTCTACACCAAAGCTGTGTACGACCAGGTTCCCAGCCCAAAGTTCACCATTCTCCATTTGATCTCAGTCAAGACAGCCTCGAGTAGCGCGGGCAGAGGTCGTTCTTTGGATGCTGCAGTGGTTTTGGTTCGAGACTGTGGACAGCTCGCCGATGCAGTTGCGTGTCATTCATGCACATGATCACACGCGCACATGCACGGACAAGTGGTTCTGTACGATCGCAGGTTGGCCTAGCAAGAAGCAGAATGTGAGTGCAACTCCAAGAATTCCATAGTCAGTCCTAGTGAGTGCAACTCCAAGACACTTCAGTTCTGTTAATGGATGCAGACTCTTCGCCGCATCTGTGCCTGGAGCACATTAGGCCACCGGTGCATAGGAGAGCAACGTAGCCAAGCGGAGCTGTGAGAGTCCCGCGAGCTTGAAGAGCTATAATAATTATAATAATAACGATATTAGTTATAATAATAATAACAACAATAACAATAATAGTAATAAGAGTAGTAATAATCAGACTAATCATAGTCAAAATCATAACCATAAGAATAATAGTAAGAAGAAGAATAACAAGAATAATAATGGTAAGAAGAAGAAGAATAGTAATCCTCTGCAGGCTGAATAGGCCCAGGCTCGTCACCGATGCAGGCATCCTGAGTTTCGGTTTCACGGCCCGCGCCGACGTGGCCGTCCAGGACTTCGAAGCTCAGTAGCCCGGCAGCATGTGCCTCCGACACGTTTCTGGTGCCAGATCTCAACGAATGAGGTGCTTCTCTTCTGGCGAAGCTGGTTCCGTAGATGCTCGTCTTCACGAGATGACTGTTTCTTGAAGAGCAAGCCTTTCGCCATGTAGTCGCATAGCTTCAAGACTCTTTTTTCCAAGGATCGGTCGAGCACGACAATTCGACTTCTCGTGCAAGACGCCTCGCTGCAGGTTGAATGCGCACTGTGTCCAGGCAATATGTATGTGGCATCTTCTGGCATGGTGGACCATTATGTCTATTCTATTGTCGCTGCGGAGGTGGATTTGTAGTGAGTTCGCACATTGCCCGTCGGCCGGTCGGTTCCTACAACGATCTCGGCAGGAGTGTGCAATAGGTGACAAAAGTCCCAAGTCCCGACCCCCGCCCGGTATCGGCCCAGCTGCTTGTCCTGCACCTGGATCCCATGGTCGTCTGTCTTCCCATTCAGACTTGGACGACTGTTTGATGCTTAGGGGGGGTGCTTTCCGCTGCCTCTTTAGTCCGTGCCACATCTGTGAGGATTGGACTTCCCATGAGCTCGTTTCCACAGTGGCGGCCTTCATTCTGAAGGAATGGTTGGGCTACAGGGTGGAGCTCGTGCGTCTGACCGAGCGCCTCGCCGTGAAGGGGTCGGGTGAAGGGAAGTTCTGGCTTGCGCTTGAACCGAGGCCTTTTTCACAAGATGTCAATGTTCATCAAGCAGCACTAGACACCCTGCGCAAAGGCGGCCCATGTGAAAAAAAAGGCAGTGGTGTGAGTTTTGCGCGCATTCTTCCCGGACACCTGCCGGCTTTACAGGCGCATGGGATGTCGATGTGGAAAACTGGGTCCTTATACAGCCACAAGGGCTCCAGGACGAGCTGACTGCAAACTCCGAACCGTTTTCGCCGATTGGGTACAGTGGGCGTTCAGGCGCGAGGTTTGTGTGCAGTCATGGGCAATCAAGTGCTGACATATCGATGAAGCATGCGTTTGCCATGGGTTTGGTCAGGCCTGTACATCTCGAAGAGCACGGCCAACGATCATCGGTTTGCAGATTGGTGGAAGTTCTACCTTCAGTCTGATAGAGCGCACTCAATGGGCTTCTCCGGAACAGACCAAGATGATCTGCGGAGAGTCCTCGGCTCTGACTTTCCATCTTGCCGCTTGACTTCCACCGGTGTAGGGCATGGCTAAAACCTCAGAGGGTGAGGGATGTAGACATCGGATGTTGCTTCGCTGCCATGGGGCCATGGTGCCAAGGCACTCCTGAACAGTTTCCCTGGTGCAGCCGCGATTTAGAAGGTTACTGGATTTCTCCTGCATGCCGGCAGAACGTCTCATCCTGCATACAAGTGCTCATGGGGCCGCCGCATTGGGATCAGGGCTACTTTGAGCAGGCCGGGTGAGGGCGCATACAACTCCCAAAAAGCAGAGCCAAACCCTAAAGCAACATGCCTCGAGTGTGTGAGCGCCGAAACACCACGATCCGCGAGTTTGGGTAGGGCCTAAAGAGGGTGTACGGGGGCCGAAACTTAAAAAGAGGGTAGTCAGGGACCCCCCGAAGCCCCAAATCTCCTCGAGGTCGCCGCCAACCTGCAGATCCCCTTTGCTTTTGCTTACTATGGGGCCGACGGCCTTCGCCAAAAGCACATCCAGCTCGCCGAGAGCCCCGAAGATGTCGGGCCCCTGGCAGTTTTTAACAGGGTTTGATGAAGGGTTCAGGCATGACTTCTCATCATGACTTCCCATGGACCATAGTTCTTGCTGCAGTAGTAAGCATGGCTTGCTGATATCATTGCTGCTGTCTTCCTCGGCTTTCAGTTCTGGGGTAACCACCTCGTGCCAACTCTAGTTAGCTCATTGTCTGTGCAGTAAGCCATAAGGCGGAATGCAGATTTTGATCCGCACGTTCTGCTTCCGCGCGAGCTGAGATTGTTTTCTTAGCACCTGCAATCGCCGAGGTGGTGTTTTATTCTTGGAGCTCCAACTGGGGAATTGAGCATGCCGCCCGCATTTCTCTGCCTGATCCACTCACGGCGTCAGTAGTCGCTGACTATGAGCGGCTTCCGAACGGGACGAATGCAGTCGACTACCCGGAGGTGTTGTTGATGAAGGTTCTGGCAAAAACACTTTTCCAAAAAGCTCCAGAGGCCTACTGGATGTTTCGGCGCCTGACTTTAGACAAGCAGAAGCTACGGGAAATGTTAGCCTCTTCTCAACACACCACACGCCAACAGATCGAAGAGTCTGCCTGCGCCTTCGTGAAGGCTAATACCGATCTCATTCGACAGGTGGCGCCGGAATGCGTGACACAAAGTGCCAGCGAGCTGGCGAATCCGGACAACGCTTTCGAACAGGGCACCGGAACCTGCACGCACTCGGAAGTTGGAGACTTTCGTTGCTTCGACACGGTTTATGACAGCCGGGCATATCCAGACCGACCCGATCGCTCGAAGACGGTGATTCGATTTGGTCAGCGTGATTGGCTGTCGCACGACCTCATGCGGACAATCGCTATGATCTTGATCCACGAGAAGCTGGGATACACGGTTCGGTCAGAGGACATTGTCAACGAACCCTCCAGGGTGGCTTGGATCAAGTTGTGCGGCAGCTAGCGTAGTGTTTCCTCACCTGAGTTTTAGAGCGCGTTTCCTCCATCAGGGTCTGAGGGTCGAACGCCCTCCCCTTCCGTGCAATGCAAGAGGCAAGCAACCTGGAAACGCGACCCCAAGACATCTGCTTCGGCTGGATTGCGTGAGCGCCGAAACTGTTTCCACTCAGGACTGGGCCGCACTTCTCGAGCGCAATGCCATGGATGTTGAGATGGAGAGCTGGCAGGTTGACATTTATGACCCCTTGGTTCAAGTCTATCTCAATGGCGACGGAATCGTCCAGCCTCCCGAGAGGATTGGTTGGATGGGACGGATTGGGATGTTCGTCATGCCAGAGGTCTTGCAACAGCTTCCCTTTGCTGACTTCTACAAGTTCTATGCTGCTTGGCCCGACTTGGACCGGACTCTGTCACTGCTCTAAGGCTAGACTCGCTACTCTACTATACTGCACTACACAATACTGTACCAATGCTATACTATACTACTATACTTCACATACAACACTAAACCCTAAACCCTAAACCCTATACTACACTACACTATACTATGCTGTGTAGTTTTTTTTTGAGATCGCAGCACAGCTCAGGAGGGGGGCGAGGCACTGCAGGCCGGATACCGCGCCCCGAACCGGACGGAGCGGCTGAACGTCTCTGGGTCCTTGTTTTTGGATACATTTTCTACATTTTTTGTGATAAGAAAGACCCAATAAGGATTAAGCATGCTCATGTTTTTATATAGCCCCAGTCCGGAGCCAGGTCTTGGATGGGATCAGCTTCTGCCGACCGGACTCCGACAATTTCTGGTGTGAAGGACAGGGTTTTGGCTAGGGGTCTCGCCCGTTCATGGTTTTCCACACGACGTCACTGAAGGACCATATGAGAACCAGTATGTCCCGGACCACTGCCGATCTCCCAATTCGACGTGCATCGAGGCAATCATGAGCAACCCTTCCTGGTCTCAAGGCTGGGTTGGTTTGCTGTGAGGGCTACTGTAAGGTTCACTTTTCGACGACCTCCATGTTGTGATTCTGCCGGTGAAAGAGCGGTGAGGGTGAGCCAAAAAGCGGCTAAGCTGAAAGGAACTTTTGAGCAGCTGGTGGTCAACCACAACCTCAGTAGCCTGTCCGGACGCAGAGGAGGACCAGGGGACTAGTTTTGAGCATCGCTGAAAGGGAGACCAGTATCCACTTACACTTTGCAGTGCTGTCGGAGCGGTGACCTTTTTGGAGTATACTCGACTCGACCCGATTAGCTCGAAGGATGCAGTGCTTTGGAACTATAGAAGTTCTTCAACATGTCGTGAAAAGGTTTAGTAGACCATTCTTCATGCGTGAGTTGGCGCCCCGCACGACACGAGGTGTGACTCATTTTCGTGTACTCAGGTATTGTGTTGTCGTACTACGGTGCCCAGCAACCGAAGTTGGTGGAGCAAGTTTTCGAGAACAGGATGCCCAGCATCTTCTATGGATGCCCGGAAATATTTGGATGTTTGATTCCGAGGCCGATGCAGTATAGTACATCGACCACTGAGGATGGGTTCCATGGGAAAAAGCTGCTCAGTTTGGCTTGAGCAACGACGTGGGTCGTGTTTCATTTCCGGATTACTACCGCGGCTGTGACGGGACTGTTCCGTCTCCCACCGGGCTGCGGCAATGTGACCTGTCTGCTACAACAGTGTACAAAATCCGGCGAAAGGATTTGTCGGATGCTTGGAAACCAGTTAGCAGGCTTTACTGCTCTTTTTGGCTTGAGCCCTTAGCTTTTGTCCCGTGGGTCTGTGCACGGCTTGCCATCAACTCCTTCCTTCACTCCTTCAACGAGGGTACGGTAGCAAACAGCAGAAAGGGCTACCAGCCGTTGCAATGAAGTCTCTGCAGGAGCGCGCACCGGAGGCGGCCTATGTCATTGACAACTTGGAGGTGACGCAGGAGCAGGCCAGGGTGGACCGGACCCCAGCCCTCACTGACAAGGAAAACCCCACAAAGGGCTTCAGAATCTCGTGGTGAATGAGAATCTTGGATTGCCGTGTACTGGGTGCGATTACAGCTTGCGTCGGGTGAGCAGGAGAAGTTTTCGACTTTGCAGTCGGACGCAGGTTGCCCAGAGCACGGAATAGAGGTCTCTTGTTCGTTGTTTTGCATGATTCGTCTTGCTTCCCGGCATGATTCGCCCTCGCAATCATGTTTTGCTCTTGATGTTTTGGTAGTCCATGGCCTTCCTGTCGTAGAGTTACTGCCATCGTAGCAAGACTAAGCTAAAGGTCGCAATGTGCGGCATTTTCTGCCCGTCTTACTTCTTTGATATGACCTGATCTCTTGCACACTGCTCCGTTCGAAGCACCAATGTGCTACGGCCTCTGGGCAAGTATTGCCCTGCCATGTGGGTCCGTGATCTGACATGTTGGAGGCAAAAAGCACATTCAGTTTTTTGAAACGGCTTAGCTTAGTATGCCCTGCAATCCCGGCAGCTGGGACGAAGCTCACCCAGCCCTCCCCTTGTTGAACATGCGACCTCCATTGAACAAACGGCCTGGAGTAGGAGAGTACTGAATGGTTTTTGAGAGTGATAGTTCAGCCAGATGCCAACGTGGCAGCAGAATCGAAAGCGACTCGTTACATGAAAGAGCGGCCCTAGGGTTAGCATTCAAGAATGACTCTTCTGGCACTAGCTTGGTTTCCATGTCCTCCCCCGGTTGGTGTAGGCACGGCCCTAGAACCCTAGACTTAGACTACCTAGACTCTAGATCCTCAGCTCCCCTGGAAGATGGCATTGCTCCTGTCGATGCACGAAGCGGGGGGTGGGAACCTCACCACCCGTGAAACCGCTTGCTACTTCGCCAAGACCATGACGCTTGTCTGCACGAGAGGATTTCGGTTGAGCGAGCCCCGACCGTGCTCAAACAGTTGCGCGAGAGGGGTGGTAGATGTCTAGCTTCGAAGATCCCTGCTCCCATCCTTTCAAGCAAAGAACCTAGACATGTCGCCACAGCTCTCTTCGTATTTGTTTCGCAGCAGTCTGGCGCTAGCTGCTCCCGCTGTGCTGCACTGCATGTGCTGCTGCCCGCTGCTGCCCAGGTAAACTCTGCAAGGAGTGATTGGTCTTGTAATTGCCCGGAAGTGCCAGTGATGACCGTAGTTCGATCCTTTTCACCGGCACATCCTTTTCAAGCTGCTTTCATAGTTCCTTCTGTCCCGTTGCCCAAAGTATCCCGATGCGGAGACACCCAGATGATCAAGGACAGAGGCTGTGGAGAATGCCTTGCCGGAGTGCATCACCAACCCGCCGGCGAATCCGAAGATCGGCGACCGCGCAGCTCGGCAATAAGGGCCAAGACCCTGAGAACTCTTTTTCGCGGCTTCATTTACGTCTGTAGTCCTTTTCCCAGTTGGACTCCACGGTTCCTGTTTCCCAAGTTTGCACCTTGCGGTCCGGGTTCCTGACCTTGGAGGCCCTCGAAAGTCTTAAGTTGAATCTGGAAGGGTTCCGTAAGGGCTTTGTAGGGCCAGGCGCTGGTTGCTGTCACTGCCCAAACCTTCTACAAGCATTCAAGAACTCCATCCACAAAGCCAAAAAAACAAATCGCCCCACGGCTTAGACAGCAAGGAAGCAGCCGCCCCGCTCTTTCCCGGGGTTCTGCCTCTCTGTTGCGACGGAATTTCACTTGCCAGGTCTGGAATTCGGCAGTGCGAGAATGTGTCCGTCTTGAGTGTGCGAGGACCCGGCCCCGGCCCGAGAAGTCAAAGATCAAAACTAAGCTCAGAGTACATGTAATAGCAAGAATACGAAGAACCATCACAATACTAAGGTCCAAAACAATAATAGCTGGCGTAGGATAGTTACAATGTGATAGAACTGATAAGCATAGAAATACTCACCAGAACTAAGATAGCCATAACAACAGTGACTTTAACAATAGAGAGCCTGTAGGCGGAGTGATGTCCCTGCCTGGTCAAGTGTAGAAGAAGGCTTTCAGATGCGTAAGCACCTGCAGGGCTGCCACACCCCCCTCCACCCCATGGTATCCTGCCCCACTTCCCCCCCCCCCCCCCCCCNNTTGTTGTGGTGGGCTCTGCACCCCCTCAGCTGAGGCTTTGGGTGGCCTGAATTCAACTTCTGTTACGTGTAACTTTAAGAGCACTTGTTCCGATCTTCTCCACCACCACTCATGTCTACAATCGCATCTGCTATGTTCGTGCGGCCCGCATCCGCCGTTCTTGAAGTTCTTATGTGTCACTACTTATCTTCTTGTTGTAGCACCGGTGGTACTGCTCATGATGCTATGCTGCTCTAGACGGCGACGCGAGTCGACAATCAACATCATAATCGTCGTCGTCATCTTCATCATCAGTCAGTACCATCAAAGTAGCTGCCACCATCACCGTCGCCATACAACCTCACAATTAAGCATTGCAATTCATGTCTGATG